TGTGCTCTGGGCCACTTGGGACACTGCATTTTTCTTGAAATTCACTAGGATGCTCAGCCTTGACTCTAGAGTGACCTGGAGTGAGTTGAAGGGTCCTGGGCGTCTGGGTGTTTGCACTGATTTTCCTGCAAGGGACCTTCTACTTTGAAGTCCTCCATTTGAGAATTTTCATGTATTCACACTGCAGGGAATTCATGAAACTTAAAAAAAAAATCCATTCCATGACTGATTACCGTGTTTCTTGGCAATCCTAATTTTTGATCATTACAATGAGCTAAGCCTCAAGGGAGACTGGTCTTATACACAGAAATCTAACAAAATATAATGAAGAAACAGGAAGCCTCACAGGGTGCCTTGGTGCTTTAGAACATCCCAGAAATAGGAGTGCTGTCTCCATACCTTATGTTCTCTGTTTTGGAGATTTTAGCATGAGGGATGGTGCCTCTGGCAAAATGTGGCTCCGGGTCAGTGGTGAAATCACACAGCAGAGCCTTTATTATTTTGTATGAAAGGGAAATAATTTATTTTCTGTTAGGGACTTTTTACAGAGCTCTTTTGCCCAGGAAGGACAATATCTGGGTTACTCTGCAGAAGACAGGAGATGTGTGAAACAGTTACAACTTTATAAAGGTAATATACCCAAAGTCAGCTCTGTCAGTGATGTCATACTCTGAAGACCTTAGGATGCATTCGGTTCCAGACCCACTCTCTCTAGCCTCAGGATCAAAGTTCCTTAGGTCTTAGTGTCCTGGTGACCAGGATTGGAGCTCCCGTACCACAAGATCCCAATGGATTGTCTGAAGAACCAGATGACTGCCTTGGATCCTTTGTGATGCTAGAATTGGATATGAAGACATTGTATGTGCCTTGGAGGCTGACCACGTGAGGCCCAGTCCTGTCTCCTCAGATGTTTTGCTTGCAGTACGGATGATGTTTGTGGGGAAGCTTGCCATGTTGATGGACTCTGTAATGGAAAACTCAAAGAGCCTCCTGTCTAGAGTACCTGATCACTTGGCTTTTTTTCCTTGCAAAAATATAACTGAAAAAAGCAGACATTTCTTATTCTCAAATTATAGACCAATTTCAAATGGATTCCTTGGGTTAGGGTTCTGAACTCTTTGTATAGTTATAGGGCCCCTGGGTGTGGGCCATGCCTAGCTTACCTCTGTAGTACCCCTCCATTTTAGCACAAAAAAACGGCCGACTAAGTGTCCTGTCTTCTCAGGAGCCTCTATCTCTACCGTCATATCCTGGAATGCTTTAGAGACAGTTTATATGTATGTACATGTATACACGTATACATGTATTTGTATATGTTGACAATAAAAGGATGGAAAAATCTATACCATGCAGACATTAATCCTTATCAAACAAAAGGCAGGAATGGCTATATTAATATCAAAGTACACTTCAGAGTATGGGAGATTACCAGGTGCTCTCCCATCCAGGAGAGCACAATACGTTTAGTTGTCCTGTGTCCTAAGGCTGTGACTATCCCTCAGACTGTCCTGGTTTGGGTGACCTGGACAGTTTTGAGGAGGACTTGTCAGGTGTGCCTCAGTTGGCATTTAGCTGGCAATTATTCTCATTATTAGACTGGGGTTATGGGTTTTTTGGAGAACGACCATAGGGGTAAAGTACCATTTTTCATCACATAATACCCAGGGCACATGCTCTCCATCTGCCTTATCAACATGACCGGCTGAGGCTGCCTGTCAGGGTTCTCCGCTCCAGAGTTCCTCCTTGGAAGGTCTGAGTGCAACTCCCACGTAAGTGAGCAGCATCAAGCTCCCCATCCTTGAGAGGGAGGAGCTACATGATTTCTTTGGAATTCGTTTGGTGACATTTGTCTTTTCTCCCCCACTTATTTATTTACTCAACTTTCCATTCCCTTTTTTTTTTTTAAAGTAATTTCTATGCTGAATGTGGGGCTTGAACTCACAACTCCAAGATCAAGAGTTGCTCACTCTACTCACTGCACCAGCCAGGTGCCCTCATTCCCTTACTTCTGAAAACTCATTTCACTTCATACATAGGTGTGTTTCTCTGGCTGGTTTCAGGGCTTTCTGAAAATGGAAGCATGTAGGGCCCTTTACCTCTTTTCCCTACTCAACACGGTGTCTGGTAGTCATCAAAGTGATTTTGGGGAGGCCTGCTTCCATTTCACTGCTGTACGATACTGAGTTGTGTGACCATGCACACATTTATCCCTTCTCCCCTTGACTGTATTCTTTATTTCTTCTTTAACATCATAAGCAGTGCTGCTGTGAGCACCTCTAGGCAGATCCCTGGACACATATGTGACACTTTCCCTGCCACCCATGACTCGGAGTGGAATTGCTGCCTTGCACAGTATACCATGTTCAGCTTAAAGGAAAATTCCTGACTGTCTTCCAAAGTGGTTAGTCCATCTTAGCCTCTCCAGCAGAAGGTGGGGAGTCCTGTTGCTCCACAGCCTTCCTAACACCTGTGTCGTCAACCTTTTGTTGTCAACCTGTGTTGTCAACCTGTGTCTGTGCTGACAGCTCAGAGCCTGGAGCCTGCTTCAGATTCTTTGTCTCCCTCTCTCTGCCCCTCTCCTGCTCACACTCTATCTTTATCTCTCTCTCCAAAATAAATAAACATTTAAAAAAAATAATGAATCAATATTGGTTTATTAATTGTCCATAAGTATCATTCTCATGTAAGATGTTAATAGGGGAAACAAACTTTTAAAAATAGAAAATAAAAATAATTTTTTTATTTCAAAAAATCAGGCACAGATGATAGAAATTCTTATTTTCTCCTTCTTTGTTCTTGAATGACAGGAAAGACTTCCTTAAAAGAATGGTACATTTGGAATAAATCTTTACAAAAGCATTTGTAGGGGTATATGTGTAATGAGTAAATCCAGAGTACAGCTCCCTACTCATATCCTGGGTCCCTGACCTGAGCCAGGCTCTGCCCTGAGCATGATGGGTGAAGGTTCCCATCCCCAGGGCTAGGTACAAAGGGGCTTTCTGTAATTTCACCCCCATTAAATAGGAAAATTGAAAACATGGAATACTGAGGAATGCGGGTATAAACCATGTATATCTGAAGACCTAAAATGACTTGGGCAACTTAATTACGTTTGGACATTGTGAAACCTTGATAATGTGGAGTGCTTTTAAAATCACTGTGCTTCTTGTTTCACTCTTGTGTGGTTTTAGAAGTAGGCAGAGGATTGTGAATAATGTGGTAAGGAAGAAGGTCAGATATTGATTAGCATAGCTGAATTCATTAGTAAGAACTAAGGAAGCTCTTGGCATCTACGTTATGATATATTCATGAAATAGATATTTAAGTTATAAAAGTTACAATTACTTTTGTGGGGGGAAAAAAATAGCAAAGCCTAACAATGGTGACCGATGGCTATCTACTTTGGAAGCAGTGGGTGTGCATTGTCTGAAAACACTTCACATTCTTCGTGGCGTTGGGGGTCAGATTTCACCAAAGAGATCAGTGTCCTTTTTCATAGGTGCACATTTTCTTCTTTTTTAAATTTCAGCTTTATTGAGGTATAACTGACTAATAAAATGGGAGGACATTTAAAGTGTACATCACGGTGATTTCATTTACCATATATGTTGTGAAAGGATCCTCCCCACCTAGATGTTAATTAAAACATCGATCACCTCACATATTTAGTTCTTTTTTTGGTGAGAACGTTTAGGTTCTCTCTGAGCCAATTTCAGTTATGCAACACAGTGTTACCAACTGTAGTCACTGTGCTCTATGGGAGATGTCAGACCTCATTCATCTTACAGCCATAAAAGCTTATATCCTTTTCACCTAAACCTCTCCCATTTCTCCCACCTTCCCAGCTACTGGCAAACACTTTCTGGCTCTCCTTCAACAAGTTTACCTTTTGGGGATGGGGGTATTTTTCCATTGCTCTCCATTGTCTCATGACCCCGTTAGTGTGATGCCTTGCAGGTCCGTGTAAGGCTGTCAGTTCCAAGTCCATGTGCTTTACACTTAATGCTGTATCATGAAATTGGCTTGTTCCATTGACAGTCTACAAAATGATGGCACTCTGGCTAAATTAACGCTCGTAACCTTCTTCTCTGTGTGCTGAATGTCTAAGACACTCATGAAGGAACTGACAGAGGTTAGCAAAGGTTAGCAAAATGGATACTCTCAGGGCCTAAGTGGTAAATTATGTATAAAAAGAGTGTAAAAAATAGCATTTCCCAGATTCTGTGGAAGCAACAGAACTCCCAATTCTATATCTTTTTTTCAAGTTTTCTAGGTACTAATGAGTCGTATTGACTTAGTCTAGTCTTGGAATTCTGGTTGTGTTAGCATTTCTTGTAGTAAAATTAGTTGCTTGGTGCTGAACTGCTGCAAACTCGCATTTTAAGGTATTTTTTTTGTTACTATGGCTCAATTTGGGAGATTATCTGATTCTGGTAGTAAGGATAAATTGGCAGTATTCACTTAAAAAGAAAAAAAAGATGGGGATGGGGTATAGCAGAAAACCCAAGATTTATTATAAAGTATAAAAGTTTCTTTTTTTCGAGAACTGCCATCCACTAATAAGTCCTGTTCAGGATCCAGTAAAGAGAAAGTTTGCTTAAGAAATTATGTGTACCTCACACCCAGTTCGATGGCTGCTATCAAAAAAAAAAAAAAAACAAAAAAAACAAAATAACAAACATTGGTGAGGACATGGAGAAATTGGAACTCTTGCACACTGCTAGTGGGAATGTAAATGGTGCAGCCATTATGGAAAATAGTATGGAGGTTCCTCAGAAACTGAAAATAGGATTACTGCATGACCCCACCACTTTTGGGTATATACCCCAAAGAATTAAAAGCAGAGTCTCAAAGAAATAGTCTCACATTCACATTCACAACAGTGTTATTCATAATAATCCAGAGGTAGAAGTAACCTTACTCTGTCCATGGATGGATGGATGGATGGACGGACGGACGGACAAAATGTGATATAAAACATATGATGAAATATTTTTCAGGCTTAAAAAGAAAGGAGATTCTGACACCTGCTACAGTGTAGAGGAGCCTTGAGGACTTTGTACTGAGTGAAATAAGCCAGACACAAAAGGACAAACACAGCGTGACTCCACTTACGTGAGGTCCCTAGAGTCGTCACAGTGATAGAACGAGAAGGTAGAGCGCTGGTTCCCGGGGGTGAGGATGGGAAATTAGTGTGTAACGGACACCTGGTTGCATTTTGAGAAGATGTAAAAGTTCTGGAGATAGAGGCTGGACAACAACATAAACGTATTTAATGCCACTGACCTGTACACGTAAAATTAGTAAAAATGGTTAAATTTTGTTATGTGTGTTTTACCACAGTTTAGAAGAGAAATCATGTGGGATATTGTATGCTAGAGCTTCTACTAATACTGAAATCAGTCTTTAAAAAGGTGATAAATGCTGCTCTGGGTCATAAGCCTGGGTCCAGTGGGCAGGTGGGAATGCCGGTGTGCCGCAGAGCCGGCTGCCGAGCAGTAGAGACCAGGGAGCAAGAGCCTTGGAACCCGCAGTGGGAAGTGAGCTTGCTTGCATAGCTCCAAGGGTCAGAAGGGGGGCAGAAGCACCAGGAAGGAGCAGGCAGCAGGGGAGGAGCAGAAAAAGCCAGTGACCCTCCATCTTGGGTGTTGAGGTATCTCTTTTCACTGGTTCCCTATAATAAACATCAACAAACACTTTATGTTTTGGAAATAACTTGGCTACACTTACTTGTCTATAAAATGTAAGTACCATGGACAACGTGAACATTCTCTCTAGGCTGAATACAAGCAGATATCATTCAGATTAGCCCCAGCGGGAGCTGGAGTGCACCCGAGATCTGTTGGGACGTCCTTGTAAAACTTCCATAATAGGATTGATGGTGCCATGGCATCCCAATTTGATGCACTAACTTAGAGCATTGGTCTTATGGTTAGTTCAAATTCCCTCTTTTTCAATGGCGCTGTCATAATCTAGGGCACCATATTTTTGAATCCAGGTAAACAAGCTACATTCGAATCTATTGAGTCTTGTGATTTGGCATCATCTGATATTTGGGGAGCAAGAATGTCTAACGTTTATCCAGCATGGACCATGTAGTGGGTACTTCCTGTGGATTGTTTGATTTCAGCCTCACAAAAGCTCCAACCCCATCTACAAACACAGCAATGGAGGTCAGAGAAGTTCAGCAGCGTCTCCTGAGGTCACCTGCCTGGTTGGTGCTGAAACTGGATTTTAAACCCCGGCTTCCGCAGCTGGCGAGGAACGATCACATAGGAAACCTTCAGAATACAAAAATGTAGAGACTCGAGAGGCTTTAACTGTCATGCAATACAATTAGAAAACAAATCCTAAAAAAGACCCTCTCCAAAATAACCCACGGAGCAGAGGCCACCAGGCTCTTAGTGCCTCAGAAGCCTGTGCCCTGAGGAGGAGCAGCTGCAGGGAGGTGGCAGTCTGCTTGGGGTGACAACAGTATACACCTGTGGGCCTGCTCCTGCACCATGGGAGGAGCTGAACTCTTCAGCTGTGTGTTTTGGAATGGGGAAACTTCCTTGCAGCTGGTCTAGTCTTCCTGTACCCTTCCTCCAGTAGGATATTGAAAAGCCAACCAGACCTTCCCAGATCGCACCTGGAAGACTGTGAGCTACTGTCTCCTCTCTCAGCATTCTCACTTACCAGTTCATCCAAAAGAAATCGAAATTTGGGTCTTGTTTATTAGCATCCACCTTGCCCTAGGGATTTCTTTCTTCAGCTCTGTTGCAAAATTCTCCTGCGGAGCACTCCCAGGTCATAGAGGATCATGGATATAAAACTTGGGCTTTGTGGGGAGACCATTCTAGGTGCTTGGAATCCCTCCCTATGCAGGCCCTTTATAACTTTGTGGATTTGGACAAGCTATTTAATTATGCCCCAGGTTTATCATTCCTTAACTATATCTGTAGATAACTTCTATTTCTGAACTTCTGTTGCCACAAACATTTGATGAGCTAGCCTATCTACAACAGTGTCATGCATGTACGAGGTGAGTATGTACGAGGTGAATGGCATTGCTCAGGTACACCTGTGCTCATCTCCCCCCCCCCACCCCACCCCGTTGGTAGCCTCTACTGGCACCTCTCCATCTCTGTGGAAAAAAGGCATGGTGAGCCTAGTGCTATTGTTTATTTTCTCTTTTACGTGGAGTGTATTTCTGTGCCTTAGGGAAGTAGTAAGACCTTGACTCTTGTCATGGCTTAATTAACTTACTGAGAGTTGGAACGACCACTGGATTCCATATCGTGGCCTAGTTAAAGTTGAAGTGTATTAGCTGTAATTAGTGATCCTGCTTGTAAAAGCCACCAACTGGTCTTTCTTTTCCCCCACAGGATACCACAGGTTTCTGCCAACTCCTGTCAAATTAGTGGGCATCTGGCACGTCTTATTTACAGCACAATTTGAAACTTTAATAAGGAAGTTATAAGGTATTTCACTTGTTTCTGGGACTGTTTCTTTGGGTAGATCTCCTTAAGATGAATGTCCTGTTTAAAAATATTTGCCAATACACACCAAGGGAAGAAGACATTGTAATAAATGAGGGAATACATAGAAGGTTTTGCCTTTTGGGACTGACCTTAGCATAATTACTTACTGCATGGGTTTTCCTTTTTTTTTTTCCCCAGAAATGTGTGTGTGTGTTTGTTTGTTTGTTTATAGACAGAGATGGCCACAAGCTCTGTGGCTTAAGATAGCCCAAATGTATCCTCTTAACAGTTCTGGAGGTTAGAAGTCTGATACCCAGGCTCAGGCTGCGTTCCTTCTGGAGGCTCTAGGGGAGAGTCTGTTCCTTGCTTCCCCCCACACCTCCACCGTTTTCTAGAGATGTCCTCATCCCTTGGCTCACCGTGCATTCCTGTCTTCAAATGAACCACATTTCTGACTCTTCTGCCTCCTCTTCCTGCTGAAAAGGACCTTCGAGATTGCATTGGGCCCACCTGGATAATCCGGTGTAATCTCTCCCTCTCAAAATGAGCTGATGACCAACCTTAATTACCCTTTGCCATTCAATCTAACACATTCACAGGTTTGCAGGCATTTTGGATGCAGATACTTCGGGGACGGGGTATTATCCTTCTTCCCTTATCAGCCAAAAGTCTATATTTGAGTGAGTTTCCATACTCCTTGGTTGACTGCATAGAAGGAATGAAATATTACAAAGGAAAAATAATCATTTAGAATCCCAGTGAAGTAGATTATTTTGAGTAATTCAGACTATATGTTGAAAATCAAGGTTGGGAGGGCAATAATTTTTTTTCATGCAGTCTTCTTTTCCTCCAAGACTCTCTAAACCAATTATTGACTCATAGACACATATATTTTGATATGTCTATATCTACATGGGCATGTATGTATTTTTCTGAAACTCCAAGTTAATATTCTGGGGGTAAAAAGTTACACCTTTTTGGTCTCTCTACTTAACCTGTCTACATATTTTGACTTAAGTTCAAGAAATCCTTTTCCGGCCATGTAAGGTTTATATTGCAGAGTGGGATTGGCAGTTTCTTAGAGCTCTGTGTCCCCAGTCTTTTCTGCAAGTGGGCTAAATTGGTTTGTTGGTAGAAGGGTAAATGAAGCAGTTGCCTATTAACCTTAAATCATTAGTCTGCCTTACCCTTAAGCTTCCCATCAAACCAGGCGGCTAAAGCCTAAACAGCCACTGTCACAGGATGAGGTCTCTCAGACAGTAAATACGCAGACAGGTCATCTCAGGCAGTCTGGTTCAGAAAGTGAAGCCAAGCTGTCCACTCAGTGGCCTTTGGAGAGGAGAGGCCTAGATGGCAATATTGCCTTAGATGGGGAGGCCAGGGGAGGTGTCTCTGAGAAGGAGCAACTTGTGCCTAGGGCTTGAATCCCAAAAGAGCAGACACGGGGGTCTGTCTTGCTCAGCAGGGAACCCTGGTGCTTTGGAAGACTATCTGCTACCTAGTAAGTGCTTAGTAAATCCTGACTGAATAAAAGAAAGGGTCACTAGAACATAGTCCCACCTTACCTTTGTACAGTGTGCTGCAGTATACAGAGTGTTTTAATTAGGACTGTAATTCTCATTCTTTTTTTTTTTTTGAAGTATAATTGACATACAATGTTATGTTAGTTTCAGGGATACAACATATTGATTCGACAGTTCCATACATTAATTACCCAGTGCTCACCACGAGTAAGAGTAGTCACCATCTGTCACCATAAAATGGTCTTAAAATTTTATTGACTATATTTCTATGCTGTATTTAGCCATGACTTGTTTGTTTTATAATTGAAAGTTTCTACTGCTTAATCCCCTTAATCTGTTTTGTCCATTTCCCTACTGACCTCCTCGCTGGCAACCACCAATTTGATCTCCATATCCAGGAGTCTGCTTTTTTGTTTGCTTTGTTTTATAGATTCTGTATACATGTGAAATCATACGGTATTTGGGTTTCCCTGTCTGACTTTATTTCACTTAGCATAATACCCTCTAGGGCCATCCATATTGTCACAGATGGCAATTTCTTATTCTTTTTTATGGCTGAGTAATATTCTATTATATATAAATACATCTTCTTTATCCCATAGCTCCTGTTCTGGAGTCTTTTTTTTTTTTTTAATGTTTATTTTGTAAGAGAGAACACATGAGTGTGAGTACACGGGGGAGTGGCAGAGAGAGGGAGAGAAAATCCCAAGCGGGCTCTGCACTGTCAGCACAGAGCCCGATGCAGAGCTCAGTCTCAAACCATGAGATTATGACGTGAGCCAAAATCAAGAGTCAGTCACTTAACCAAGTGAGCCACCAGGCACCCCATGAGTGTTTCTTCTGCTGGCCAGTGTGCTTAGGGCTTTCTTCAGGAGCTTCTAAATGAGGCGCTGTTATTGTTGCATTGTTATACAAGAGGCAGCTAGGCTACCATGGCTAACAGGACTCCAGTCCATGTCTGTATGACACCAAACCTCACCCTCTTAAATCCTGTATTATCGTCTTCTCCTGAGTATCAAAAGTATCTTGTGAGGCTAGGCCAAGCATTGTTATTCCCATTTTACAGAATAAGCTGAAGTCTCAGGTGGACCTATGAATGGTTCAGCTGAGCTTAGAATCCTAGACCCTTGACTCATGTCTTCTACTTGCCATTATGACTGAGTGGTTCATCTTGGTCCAGAAACCTCTCTGGAAACAGCTGTGGTCACTTCAGGGTGTTGTAGGAACAGGGGCTCTTATGAGTAGTACGTAACCCAAGCCGTAACCCAGCAAGATGCAGTTAACAGGATCATTTTTAAAAAGAAAATAGGGTCCTAGAATAGGATTGACATTATTTTAGGAATTAGTGAAAACTTTTGAGCCAAGAAAGATTTTATAGCTATTCTAGGTCTTTTTTTTTTTTTTTAATCTTCTCCCACCTAAAACTTGAAAAAGCAGTTTCCCATTTGTTAGATTCTCTGAGGGTTTCTTTTATTCAGTATGACATGAGGTTCTTGCTAAGCTCTATTCTAGAATGGTCACCTGACATTTAAGATAGGATCTGGCTGTATAATAGCAAGTATGTGGCTCTTTTTTCTGTTGGTGGGACCTACATGATAACTTAATTAGCTATAGCTAACAAAGGCAAAAATGAGATTGTCTTGAACACCTAAGCTGGAGCGATAAACATGCTTTATTCTTTGGATCTGACCTCTGTGATTCATAGACTAAATCAAAATACTATCTCTGACTTAACATTCAGCAGTCAGAATGTACTTTTTCAGACTTTCTTCTGTTAAGGCTTTTCCATATTAGAAAATTAAATCAGTGTGTCTGTCTCAAGATTATGGAATAATCTTAACTTAGCTACATCTCTTCCTATTCCAATATATCCTACATGCTGTAGCAACTTACCCTTGACTAAAACTGACATGCTCCTGTTGGTCCCCTGAGAAAAAGGGGTGGAATCTGTTTTTCTGTGATACAAGATGGTGTGCAGGGTATGGGAAGGGTACTGAACTTGACATTGAAATGGCTAAAAAAAAAAAGAAAAACGGAAGACATCCAAAAGAACCCATGTGTACTGTTGATGGGAATGCAAACTGCAGCCAGTGTGGTGCAGCCACTGTGGAAAGCTATATGGAGTTCTCAAAAAGTTAAAAATAGAACTACTCTATAATCCAGCAATCACACTACTGGGTATTTACCCAAAGAGTACAAAAATACTAATTCAGAGGGATACATGCACCCCTGTGTTTATAGCAGCATTACTTGTAATAGCTAAACTGTGGATGCAGCCCAAAGTGTCCATCAACTGATGAAGAGATAAAGAAGAGGTGTGTGTACACACACACACACACAATGGACTGTTACTCAGCCATAAAAAAAGAATGAAATCTTGCCATTTGCAATTACATAGATGAAGCTAGAAAGTATTATGCTAAGGAAAATAAGTCCGTCAGAGAAAGACAAAAACCATATTATTTCACAAAACAAGCAAAGGGAAAAAAGAGAGAGAAACCAAGAAGGAGACTCTTAACTCTGGGGAAGAAACAGATGGTTACCAGAGGGGAGGTGGGTGGGGGGTGGATGAAATAGGTGGTGGGAATTAAAGAGAGCACTTGTGATGGGCATCGGGTAATGGAAGTGTTGAATCACTATATTGTACACCTGAAACTAATATAACAGTGTAAGTTAACTAACTGGAATTAAAAACTTAAAAGGATATCCAGAAATACATATTGTTTACTTTTTATTTTTGTGACTTTTTGGAGTCATTTGTTCTTAATTCTTCTGCTTATTAAGTACTCCTATCCTCTGGTTCTTGCTTACACCTTTCAGGTCTGGAGAGCCCTCCTCTGATTCCACTGCCTGCTCCTCCCCCAATCCTACCCATCTTCCAAGACTGAAATCAGTCTCCTTTTCCTTTTCCCCACCTCCCAGTTATCTGTCCTTTTTCTCAGCATCACCTCCGTCCATCGCCCCTGCCTTTTGCTTCCTTTTTGGGTGAGTGATCTTCTTTCCACTGGGACTGCTGGTGATTGGCCGACATTCATTCAGAAGCCCTGTAGTGAGGCAGTTGTTGATTGGTGGGCTCCCATTTCCATCGGGGGTAAGGAGGTTGTTGATTGGTGGAGTCCATTTGGGTGAAATGGGTGTGATTGGCTAGCCCTCTGAAGCACTAGGGTAAAGCTCCTGTTGATTGGTAGACTTCACTCAAGTGAGGCAGTTATTGATTGGCTGGCCTTGTGAAGTTTTTATATTGATAGAAGCTGGCATGAATCAGTTAGAATAGGTTTGAAACCAATCAATTGAAGAGGTTCCTTGCTATGACTAAGGAACAAACCAGTAATTTTCTAGGTGCCAAGGGAACTTTTTATTTTCACCTGACCTGGAATCCTAGATTTCCTGGGTTGGATTAAGCCTATCAAAATAGACTGCATGTTAAGACCCCCACCCAGCCACCCGCCCCAGAAGTGGGCACATGAGCACAGACTTGGAAGTCAACACACCTGGGCTCAAATCCTGATTCTCTAATTCAGCACATGACTTAATCCTTGTGATCCTCAGTCTCCTAAAGAATAATACATCCCTGAAAGATGAGGGTTCTGGAAAGTGAACAAGTTGATGTGTGTCAAGTACTCATCACACCCTCAGAGTTCTCATTACAACCCACTGGTCTAATGACCCAAGGAAACCATCCTGAGGGGGCATTTTGTACTCAGTTCTCTCTTACTTGGTTTTTCCCTTCTAAAGCCTGTCAGAAAGATTAACTGTAAAAACCTGATGCTCAGACCTCACTCCTCAAGATTCTGGTATCATTGATCTGTGGTAGAGCCCAGGCACCGTGATGTTCAGTGTGCCTGGAATCATACCTTGCCCAGCTAGCTCCTTACTCAACCGCTTTTCATACAGTGAAATCACACAGGAAATTAACAGATGGCTTTGATTGGTCTTATGTGATGGTCTGGTCTTGTTAAACACTCTCTTGAAAACTGTGTAATTAAGAAACAAACCTGGTATTCAGATGGAATATTCCCTGAGCCCCATTCCTATTACTGTTCTCATTTTTATTAAAAAAAGAAAAACTGCCTTTATGATTTTGAAAATTCTAACTCTGACAGAAAGGTCAGGATGGAGAGAGAGAGAGAGAGACATAGTATGGATGGGAGAGTTTCCAAAAGTGTGTAACAAAATGGTCTACAGTTTGGAAATGAATGTTGTGTAAACTTGGATGTTGCATATATTATGCATAAGGTCTATTAAATATTTCCTCCTTACTGAAAGGTTTGTTATCTCTAAATTTGGAAGTTAATTCAAGAAACAGAAGAACATGTTTTATTTATGTTTCTTTAGCATCTAGTAAAAAATGTCATGTTATTCATGGTATTCATACTTCCATGGAGTAAAGTGTTTTGCTTCCCTTTGTAATCCTGAAGTCATCCCTATAAAGTAATGAGAAGTTTCTCTGTCAGAGAGGAAGACGGTTTTAGTTAAGAGTCTTTCCATTATTCCTTCCTTCCAACTTTTAAGGAAACCTAGTCAGGTGAAGGACTGGCTATCGAAATTGTTTTGCTGGAAAAAATACTGGGCCATCTTGTGCCTAAAAAGTCTGGAGCTGCTAAGACTGTTGATAACTGTATTTATTTTAGTGATATGCCTTTGCAATATATATTACTTCCAGAACTGATTTAACTAGCTGTATAATATGTCATTATTTATTTCTTGTTGTTTTAATCAGCTTTTTATTTGGGAAGGACTTTGTTTATGGTTCGCCCTTGGTGTTGCATATTTTATGGGTCTTGACAAATGTATAGTGACATAGCCACTATTAAAGTATCATACAGAGTAGTTTCACTACTTTAAAAATCAAATGCTCCACTTATTCATCCCACCCTCCTCTCTCACCCATTTGTGCTCAATTCTAAAGACAAGAAGGAAGGAAAAGTGGGAGTTTATAGCTCAGGAGTAAGATAGGCAGTAGATGAGTGGAGAGTGACTGAGAGGAAACATCAGAGGTAAAGGAGGGATTCTGAGTAAACTGACCTGGCATGGTTCTTCCTGAAGGCAGGCAAGGCAATCTGTCGATTACGTTGGGCAATACCTGGGTGAGGGTGGAGGATTCTTGCTAAACCAGCTTAGCAGGATTCTTGTTAAAATTGGGATGTGTTGGGACAAACATGGAAAACAAATATCTAGTACGAGGCTTAGTATGGGAAGAGGATTCAGAGGAGCCTGACTGAAGTTTGGTCAAAGAGAAGGCCTTTGTGAGATTGAGACAATGGATGGCCTTTTCTTTTTTTTAAGTTGATTTATTATATTTTTGAGAGTGAGCAGGGGAGGGGCAGAGAGGGAAAGAGAGAATCCCAAACAGGCTCTGTGGTGTCAGTGCAGAGCCCTACGTGGGGCTCAGTCTCACAAACCATGAGATCGTGACCTGAGCCGAATTTAAGTCAGACACTCAACTGACTGAGCCACCTGGGCATGCTGACAGTAGATGGCCTTTATCGAGTGGCTTCTTTACTAAGAGCATGCATTTAAGGTTCTTTCATGCCTTCTCATGGCTTGATATCTCATTTCTTTTTATCACTGAATACTGTTCCATCACCTGGATATACCACAGTTTATCCATTCACCTCCTAAAAGACATCTTGGTCACTTCCAAATTTTGCCAATTATGAGTGAAGCTGCTAGAAACATCCCCCCATGTCTGGGTTTCAAGAATAGTTTTATTTGTATAGAAAGGTTACAAAGATAGTACAAAGCATTCCCATTTCCCCTAGTGTTAGCATCTCACACAACCATGGTACATTTGTCAAAACTAAGAGATTAACATTGGTATGTTACTATTGACTACACTTTATTCGGATTTCACCATCATTTCCACCAATTTCCTTTTTATGTCTCCAGAGCCAGTCCAGGATGCCGCATTGATTTTAGTTTTAATTTATAAGAATAGTTTGCGTGTGTGTGCTCATTAAATATGTTCATAAAATTCAGCGTATCTTGAGAAAGTGGATGTAAACATATTAGCTACAAGGAGCTTCTGTTACTTAATCGAGTGAACGCATTTAATTATGGCATTGTTATTTAGAATTTTTTGAAAGTTTGTTTTTGCTTTTGGCAAAGCACACAGATTTCCCAATGCACAAAATCAGGGTTTGTTTTATTAGGGCTGCTGTTTCTAAGCAAAATACCAAAGCTTGTTGAAAGAAGGTCATTTTAAGGTTATTCCAAGACTCAGGAGGAAGCCAGCTGCCAAGTTGTAATAAAAGCTGTCAATGCGTAATTTCTCAAGTTGATGCACAGGACGAAGTGTTTGGTTGGTTCTCTAATGAGCATCTCCAAATGTTTTGCTGGCAGAAGGACTCCATGAAAGATGACAGAGGAAGTTATTGTGATAGCAAAGTGGGACTACACTGCCCAACAGGACCAGGAGCTGGACATCAAGAAAAACGAGCGTCTGTGGCTGCTGGACGACTCCAAGACGTGGTGGCGCGTGAGGAACGCCGCCAACAGGACAGGCTACGTGCCGTCCAACTACGTGGAGAGGAAGAACAGCCTGAAGAAGGGCTCCCTCGTGAAGAATCTGAAGGACACGCTAGGTGAGTGTACCCACGTGTTAGGACCCACAGTAGAGCTGAACTACTTCCTGTGATGGGGGGCGAGGAAGCCTTGTGCTTTTGGAGGGGAGAGTGTCCATCTTTTTAGTTCACGTGTTTTGTTTTGTTTTGTTTAAAAAAAGGTCTGTTTTAAAGTTGATGTCTTTCTAGTTGTCTTTCTTTTTCTTTTTTTTTTTTTTTAATGTTTTATTTATTTCTAGGAGAGAGAGAGAAACAGCGTGAGCAGGGGAGGGTCAGAGAGAGAGGGAGACACAGACTGAAACAGGCTCCAGGCTCTGAGCTGGCAGTCAGCACAGAGCCCGACGCGGGGCCCGAACCCACGAACCGCGAGATCATGACCTAAGCGAAAGTCGGACGCTTAACCGACTAAGCCACCCAGGCGCCCCATTGTCTTTCTTTTTCAAATAATCATGTTTTTATGTATTTTTGAGAGAGAGCGAGACAGAGCATGAGTGGGGGAGGGGCAGACAGCGAGAGTGAGACACAGAATCCAAAGCAGGCTCTGAGCTGTCATCACCAATCCTGTCGTGGAGCTCGAAGTTGTGAACCACGGGATCATGACCTGAGCTAAAGTCGGATGCTCAACTGACTGAGCCACTTCAGTGCCCCTAAATTGTCTCTTTTTTTTTATTTAAATCTCTGCAAATATAGAGATCAAATGGAGAAATACCAGGTTCATCATTTCCTGGAGATTTTAGAGTCTAGAATTGTGTCTGTGTGTTGGGGACCCTTAGATGTATTTCCATCTCCAGGCATCAGTATTCTAGAGGTTCTTGAAATGGAATTACCACCCCCAAAAGTGTCTGCAGCTCTCCCCTTTCATCCCATCAGATCTTTTTTCTCTACACAATCCTGCCCATGTGGCCTTCGCGGCCTTCATGTGTAGAGTGGGAAGGAACAGAGAGTGCTTTGAACTGGGTAGGGTTTTTCCCCCTCTACTAGATTGATGACATTTCATAGAAACCACAGTCCTGGTGTAGTTGCTAACGTGGCCGTGGGCTAGCACCTGTGTGACGTCTAAGGCTGTCTGCAATCACTTAGGTGGGGACCGTGGGGAGTTCAGCCAGGTTGGCTCAGCACCTGGTTTTCTTTCCACATGCCCAATATCCCAATGTGGGACAAGCCATCTTGAATCGCCTGAAGTTAAGGGTGTCCACTCTCGCCCTTGTGTGCATATCTGATGTTCTTGGAGTAGTTACTCCTTCAGAAGTAACAGTGAGGGCCTTGGTGAAGAATGACGAGCTGAGCTGCCATTTACTAAATCTAGTGTCACCTCCTTAGGGTCATACCTAAGACTACTGGCTAAAGAGTTTGCTATGAAATAAGCCCATGTTATCACCTGTGTTACATATACTTGAGTGTTTTCTTCTTATTTCTAACAGGAGGGTTTGTTTCATGTAGGGTGGGAGGGAAGCAGGTGGGAAACTGGGAAGAAAATTATAGACCGAATGTAGTGGGTGTCGCAAAATATTCATCTTAAATTTCATGCAATCTTGAAAAGTCTCCTGAGTCTCTCTTCAGACCCATTTAAAGCCTTCATTTATTGGGTAGTTATTAGGGCTTAGGTTATTTCCATGATTTGGAAAGAGAAATGAAGACACAGGCCTGAGTATAAATCACATGAGCTCTCATAGATTCTGAGCCTGATGTAGAAATTTCTTTTTGCACGAGAAGTTTGATTCTTTCTCCGCTAACCTGACACCCCTTTAATTTTTTTTCCAAGCAAGTCGCTTGAAAGGAACATTGTGGTCCTATACTTATAACTCTTAATGAACTGTGGTAGAAATGCAGTTAGCATGAGTAGATAAATACCTGAGCCTAATTTGACTTATTTTTTCCCAATTTCAGCCTCTGTCACCCAAGTGACTTTTTTGGGAGATGCTAAACTTGTTTTGTTTTCTTTCTTACCCATTTTTTAAAAATGCATTTTCAATATCGTAGAATGAAGTACACAGAAACTGAATGAGATGCTCAGAAGGGAAATAAGACAAAGCAAGCATTCTGAACTCTCTAGAAGTTCCCTTGCATACCTTGTCATTTTTTTTTTCCTCCTTCGCTTGGTAGAAGAAAAGCCAAAGGCCCAGGTTGAAACCTTCAGCCAGATATCTCCCCCAGTGTCTACTCTTTTCACCAGCTGTGATCCACCTCATGTGCTGGTGGACCGCAGGCCCTCACACAGTCAGCCCCTCCCCATGCCGGGTGCTGGGTGCTGGGCCGATGCCCCGCCCCTGCCAGATGGCCACCCAGCTCTGCCAGAACACTTCTACCTCGACAGTCAGCCAATTCCATTTTTGGAGAACACAGATTGCTCGAAAGCTCTTCCTTAAATAGAATCAAAGTTTGCTTTTCTTTAACTTTTTCCCCTTGGCTCCCATTGTGCCCTGGAGAGCTGCCTGGGTAACGCGTCTCCCCTCCTGGAAGATGACCACCCGCCACCAGGCCTCAGTCACAGCACAGGCACGCATCTAATTGGCAACATTGGGGTTGAGCATATTACGCGTTGTAAGAACACAAATAAAATTCTGTTTTCAGCATCCGTATCTGTGGAGAAATGCCCCCCTTACTTCTGTACATCTTTCTGTTATGTGTTCACCATACTCCCCCCGAAGCCTTGCTCCTGCTGCCCAGAGAGAGACCTTGGTGTTCCAGTGCGAGTTTTCCATTGGCTGGCTTGAGCAGTATCAAAGGGAAGGGAGGCACCTCTGCCCAGAAATCACCACAATGGAGTGACTTCTCCATTCCCCATGGCCAGGCTCAGCACAGCATTATTGTGTCAACCAGGAAGGTCAGAAAACATCCCACCAAGTGCTCGTGACTCCCTGTTTAAATTCTTGTCACCAGCGTGCTGTCACAGTTACAGTATGATTCTAGTCGATTATGCAGCGGCCGAATTTCTCTGCACTGCCTGTTAGAAGGAGTGAAAATAACGTTGAAAACGACCCTGCATGTATTGACCTTCCCGTAGCTACTCCTCATGTCATCCACATTTGTCATTTTTCCTGCTGTGGAAATCCACCTGATTCCTAAATCCAGAGTAAGATTTCCCTGGCAGGTGCCTGGTTTGGAATAAAATAGTACCAGACTCCCCCAACAAAGTCACAGTGTTATAAATGTGCGTACACGTCTCTGACTGCGGAGAAATGTAACTCTGTAGAGTCCTCTTCTGCTTTCCTGTACTCACTTGCTGTGTTGAGGTCAGTGGGGAATTCAATTTAATCACACACACGACTTGGTTAGAGTAACTTCTAGAAAGCAGTACCTCTGACAAAAAGATCTCTGTTGGGAAAGGATTGACATTCTTTCTTTTCCTTTCATAATTTATAATCAAATAATACAATATGAGCTCTTATTTGCACATGAGCAAAACATTTATATACTGGTTCTCCTTTCATATTTAACTTATGATCATGAATAGTCAGAGAACTTTTCCACAGATAACAAGGGGCAATTGTTAAGAACCCTTTCTGCTGGCAGAGCCCAGTTGATATTTTGAAGGGCTCAGACTGTGCAGCCCTTTGCTCAGCAGTGAGGAGCGTTCCTGGTCTACAGTGTGGCCTTGACATTGCAGCCTGACTTATTAAATCATGTGGGCTAGGTATTTTAAAGCACTGTGCTAAATCTTTTGAGATGGGGAAGCTGCTTCCAGGGAGGTATTTTTCAAAGATTTTCCTGCAGACTACTGAAGAACGGTTTTTGTTACCACTTCGTGACAGCAGCTGGGACCCAGCAAAACCCCAAAGGTTAGCGCTGTTCTCAGTGGTTCACTTAAGTCTACATGCTGACTTGGGTTACCCAGAACCATACGGTTCCCTGTATAACCTGTTAGTAACCTTCTCAGGAGGGTTTGTTCCAAGGCACACATGTCCATTGCTGACCACCTCCTATGTATCTGGAGCCAGAGGTGACCCACCCCTTGTCACGATTGCCTCTTTATAGCATTTATCCCAGTGCAACCACACCTAAGGCCATTTAGCAACCTGCCAGTGATTAGCACCAGGACTCCCACCTCAGATTCCAAGGTCTACCTTGGAGAGCAGAGACAGACTCCCTAATGCTAGTTAGCTATTAAATAGCCCTTGTGCCCTTCTGAACTAATGCTTTCAGATGAGGAGGGGGTGGTTCTTATGGGTGAAATCTACTAGGCTCTTAGAGGTATAGCCATTCTAGGATTGACTGTGGGGTAGCTAAGTAACTTCCCCAGGAACACACTACTAGTGCCAGTATAGATTAGAGATGAGACTTGACCTCAAACTTGAGGGTTTTGTTTTTTGTTTTTTGTTTTTTGTTTTTTACTATACCAAGTTGAATATATGGACTTAGCAGGTGGGCATCTGATAAGATTCTGTTTCAAAGACAGGCAGAATTGTTAGAGGAGATTCTACTAATACCAAGTCATTTATTTTAGAAATGAAAAACTTACTAGCAGAATGTGAGCTGGGTCAGGGAATTAGTCAGTAATAATGTATTGATGTTAATTTCCTGATTTGATAGTTATATTGTGATTGTGGAGGAGAATTTCCTTATTTGTAGAAATACACACTGAGTATTTGAGTGTTAGAACATCACGTAGGTAGGAAAGTGGCTCTCAGATGGCTCAGGGAAAATAATATTTTTGTGCTGTTGTAACTTTACATTAAAACAAACGGACAGACATGAGTGCTTGAGGAACCACACCAAGGCTCTAAAGTTGGCTTGTAGCAGAGGAGTGGGGGTAGAGCCCCCTCCCCACTTTGGGCATCTGCAGTGCCTTAAATTTGGGATCAGACTTTCAGAGATCAGAGTATCTCTGAGCCTACTGACATTGGGCCAAAAACAATAAAGAGTAACACCGTTCACAAACATGCCCTACTGATTCCTTACGGGAATGGTTTCCCATAGTGCTTAACTCAGAACTTTCTGTAATTATCCAGAGTTCTCTCCTTATCACTTGCTTGCAAGTGAGGAAAATCCCTGCTGTTTGCTGGATCAGCCCAGACTGTTTT